CGTCCTAGTCCGATTGGCTGCCCAGAAGTAGCGGATAGAAAGGTACTACAATCGAAGAGCCAACCTCCGACAATTCAATATTGGAGACCTGGTGTTAAGAAAAGTAACACTGCACACCCGGAACCCAAACGTAGGAAAGCTGGGACCGAATTTGGAAGGACCATATCGGGTCGTTGGGATTATCGGCAAAGGTTCATACAAACTCAAAGCGGTAAATGGTGCACAACTACCGAATAATTGGAAGACACACTTATATGACCTCATTCACCTTTTCATAGCATTATGAACCGGACAAACACTTTCAGGTAACAAGCAAGGGAAGTGTGACTATTAGGTCTGAAAGCATGCGTTGTATTCTTTTTCTCTTGAACCGGTTTTGTCTCAAATGGGTTTTCCGGTAAGGTTTTTAACGAGGCAATAGTAAATCGTGCTTACTTAGAATTGAAGACCGATTTTTAATTGGAGTCAACGGTCACATCAACAGTATCCGAGCCTTCACAAGATCGACCTCGAATATTGGGTGCCATCACCCTCGGTTTGGACTTCTTAGCAAGATAAGAAGAGGACTTTTTAATTAAACAGTTTAGGCCTGGTACATAAGATTTATTATAAGGATCAAACGGTCAAATGAACCGTGCCTGCGTAGCCCTCCGTTGCCGTAATCCTAGCTTTGCACGCTTTCAACCATGTACTTTACACACAAAAACGAAAGAAAGTTCCCACCTTGTTATTACATATTTCTGCCTTTTAAAGCATCGAGCCTATGAGCTATCCCTGTTCGGGGACTATCAAGCCCAAAGGCTACCCCCATCCGAGCCTAAGGGCTATTTCTATTGGGGGAGTATCGAGCCCAAGGGCCACTCCTATCAGAGCCCAGAGGGCTACCCCCACTCGGGGACTGCCATTCGAGACAAGTTCGGGCGGCTCGGGTTATTGAACCTGAAGGCACAAAACTTATTAGGCAGTGCCCAAACCAAAAAGGCTACGGCCACCCTAAAAACAGTTAGGAGATGTTCGAAGCCCATAAATCAAAATATAAGGCCTTCAATAAAAATTCAAAATTTGCCAAAAGGTTACCCTCGGCAAAAGCATCGTCTAAAAATACTTAAGCATTTTTGAAAACTCTCGGTCACTCCGAGTCCAAAACTTCGAGCAGATAAAAAATTGCATCGAGGTCAGGTTCTGTTTGCACCTCCGGAAAACAAATGACTTGTTATTACATTAGATCTTATGATAAGGCACTTAGAAATATTTGCGAAAATAAAAATTATGAAAAGATGTTGAAACAGTTGAAATTGCCAAATGGGGGAATTTTATATATTCCGGAATATATTTACATAGGCCCAACAAAAACGGCCTCAAAATAAATAAAAAGTACGTAAACAAAAACTAAAAAATCCTACGGCATTCACGCCTGATCTTCACCGGAGCCCAAGTCATCAACAGAACCATCGGGGGCTTTGGAGTCTTCAGAACCCTCAGAGCCCTTCTCACCTTCGGGTTCGGCTAATCTCTTGGCCTCAACCTCAAGTCTTTTGGCCTTCTCGATCTCGGCAGATAGATCGAAGCCTCGAGCATGAACTCTTCGAGGGTCTCTCTTCGAGAAGCCACCTCACGTATTCGGCAGTGGTCTTCAGGCGGGCCTCGGATGACTCAATATCGGCCTTGTATTGGGCCACCATCCCCTCGGCATCAGTAGAAGTCGTATCCAGTTGGGACTTTGCTGTTTCGAGCTCTTGTCTGAGGGCATCCCGTTCCACGATGGCCGAGCTCAGTTGTACTTGGAGATCTTCACTAAGCTTAGCTCGTTTATCAGCTTTCTCCTGTGCCACTCGAGATGAACTTCTACTGAAGAAAGCTTTGCGACAACTATTTTTTTCTCCGAGGCCAACAAATCCATTTTGTTCCTCTACCCCTTGGCCATGACTTAGATCTCGTTCATCTCCTTTCGAAGCTGGTCGATCTAATCAATTTTTTGCTGGGCATGCAAGGTTTGGTCGCACTACGACTAGTACCTCGTTCTTAACTTCGAAGATCTTTACCTTTTCGATCAAGTCGGCGTGCTCCCACTACAGGACCGATGCCTCTCTCTGAGCCCGATCAAGTTCAACTGAAGGTTCTTAGTGACCCCTTCTTGCTGCTCACTAAGGACCATGTACGAATCCCTCTTCTGGGCTAAGTCCTTAACCTCGAGCTCGAGCTAGTTGACCTCGACCCGGTACCGCAGGAAACTCTCATAGTGAAGTACCGACGCCTGCAACAAGGCAAAGAAAGTGTGAGAAACATCAAACACAGATAACTATGGACAAATAGAAGGAAATAGTGCCTTACCTGGTTCAGCACCTGCTGCGCTTCATTGAAAAGGCATGATACGTTCACCGCATTCATTTTTGCCTAGTTCTCCTCGGTCACCAGGCATTAGAGATAGCTAGGTACCCCCACAGGATCAGACAAAACCCGGACATCCTCCAGGATGGTCAGTATGATCGACCTCTTGCAACCAGGGTCCACGCTCAGAGCGGGGAACTGATTGACCAAATTTGGGCTCGAGCTCGGCCCGCCAACTTCCGAGGAAGTGTCTATCTTCGAAACCTCCAGGTCTCCCAATCTGGAGAAGTATTCTAAAGCAGACAAATTCACTCCGTCAGAAAAGGTGTGAAAGGGATCTTCCACACCTTGGTCCCCCTAGTTGGATTTCTCCTTCCCAGCCTGGGTCTCCTCAATCATGGACTCGGTGTAGGAGGTCGGCATTCCCGTAATCTCTATCACACCGAGTGCTTCCTTTAGAGCGGAGCCGACGTCACGAGGGGTCTCGGCTCCCGCCTCCATATCAACCTCTTGATCTTGAGGGAGATTGCCTTCACGAGTCTCTCCCTCGGCTGCCATCTGCCCTCCAGAAAACGTCATTCTGTGGGCGATGAAAATTTCATCTTCCTCGGGCTCGTCCCTGAGATGAAGAAGGTTATCGAAATCCAACACCCGAGAACTGGAACCCCTCCTGGGCTTGCGAAGCACCCATTTCTTTGGCTTCTTCACCTCAGAGCCCGAGGATATTCTCTTCCTTTTCTTTTTTTCCTTCGTGCCAGCAATAGAGGGATCAACGGACGGGGGCACATCTTCATTCACTTTCGAAGGCCTAAGTTCAGTGGTCTTAGGAAAACCTACAATAGCGAAGAGGGAAGAAAAGTTAGTATAATAAAAGGAGAAGACATAGTGTTGGCTACTCGGAAAGAGGCCTTACCATAAGAACGGGCCTCCCATCGACACTTCGAGAATTCGCGCCACGTGTGCTCGAAGTATGACATCTGAGTACAGATGCCCTCGATCCACTCACGAAGTAGCGGAGGAGGATCACGATCCTCCACAGTGATGGATGAATTTGTACAAGGCACACCTCGTACCTCTTGCAGAGCTCCAGAATGATCGGGTCCGCCGGACCCAGCATGAAGGGATAAGTGTAGACACTTAAGTACCCCTCCACATGGGTAGTAACGGCATCCTTGGGCCGAGGGACTACTACGTCCTTTCCTTACCAATTGCAGTCTTTACGGACTATGAGAAGAATATCCTCAGTCACGGAACATATATACCTGGAGACCTCTTCGCCCTTGTCCTGTTTACGCGAGGTTTTCTCGACCTTAAAGTCATCAGCGATCGAGCAGTCCCCAAGAACGAACTGTTACAAAGGAGGCTCGGTGGCCGGTTCGTCAGCAACCATAACGGGGGAAGCCGCATCAAGGACGACCACTTCGGGGGCAACCGCTTCAGTACCAGTAGCCGGTTGAGAAGATGAAGAGGCAACTTGTTGAGGAATAATTTTCGATATTTTGGCCATTGTCATTTGGGGGGAGTGTTTGAAAATTTGAGAAATGAACGCAAATTTTTGACGGGTTTTGAAGATGAAGAACAGGGTATGAAGAGTTGAAGAAAATCTAGGCAGAATTCTGGAAATTACTATGGAAATTGAAGAACAAGGATGCAATATGAAGGTTTGAAGATGGCTGGGAAGCTCGAAGGAAGTAATTTGGTCGAAAAGTAGAAGGACAAAAGGAGGAAGCTTTTATAGGGAAATAACCGACGCTTCACATTCTGAGGCAACCTGACGGTGAGCGACACGTGTCCGAAGACAGAATGACGCGATTGATGGGACGTTTCGGCTCCCTCGTCGTGACGTACGAAGGAAGTAACCGGAGTCATCTGTCATTTCCCATTGTTTCAGCAAACTTACTCTCTGAGAAACGAAGGGACTATCTGTATATGGGTAAAATCGGGCCCACTAAATACCTCAATTTCCCGGTAAGTCAAACGGAGCAGGAACGTCACCGTAATGAATCGAAGTTAGAGCGAGGAGCCCTTATTATCGGGGCTCGGGCGAAACACCTGCCGTCGGGAATATCGGGGTCATGTCCTCCGGGTCCGGTTTATGGATTAAGACTTCGGAGAGCATTACCAAACGACTGCACACGACTAACAAAGGGTCGTGATGTCTGTGCCCTACGGATATCACGGCGTGAATCTTGGCCCATATCGGCAGAAAATCAGTGATTAGCGAAACAGAAGATTTTTACCTTTCTTAGAATTGTACTTAGGATAAAATTTCCCTACTATATAAAGGGGAAAACTTATTATCCATGGGACACATTGTAACACGTATATCAAGCCAATTTATTTTAATTCTCTTTGTTGTTCAAAGTTCTTATTTTTGTTCTTAAGTTCTTCATAAGTGCTGGAATCGAGGGCGGGTTCTTCATCGAGCCATCAACCGAGCTCGGAATCGCCCTTATCATTGGTTTGGCTATTTATCACGTTTTTCATTTGCTTAATCTAAACATCATTAATTACTTGTATTGAATTAATCCACATACCTTAAAACCACATATAAATTCAATTGTCATCCGTTTTTTAGGCTAAACGCCCACAATTCTCATTAAGGCGAAACCATTTTCCACTGCTAGTGCTACTACGAATACATAATCCTAAAAAAAGTTCAAGTTCGAATATCCACAGAAAAAAGGGATTGGTATACTCAATTTTCCATTGCATTATAATTTGACTGTACTTACAGGGAACTAAACTACTCAAAATTAGTCTCAACAACTATTTGCTAATTAAATTGATCAATAGCTCCACAGAGAAATGTCAGCATGGTCAGCTTCCATTCCATATCCGTCTATAATACATTGAGGTGGAGGTAACATTAGCCCTTCGGCCATATTCGCAAGTAATCCCGGCATGTAAAAAAGCGCCTCCTCGTCCAAAAACAACACATTATCTGGCAATTCTGCAACCACCTCTTGTATGACTTGGTCAACAATAATTTCCCTAGAGTTTTCTCCGTCTGATTCTACTGGCCGAAATGCTTCGGCGGCTTCAGCGGCCGCCTTCTGGATATCCTTGGCGGCCGCTGAAGCTGGGATGGGTAGCCTCCAAGCCGAGTCAGCAAAATTCAAACAAGCAGACCGGCCTCTTAGAGCTATAGCCGCCACGTCATGAGCTCGAGCGGCCATTTCTGCAGTTGGAAATGTGCCAAGCCAGATTCTTGATTTTTTATTGGGTTCTCTTACTTCACAAACCCACTTATTCCGATTCCTCCTCCTTATTCCCCTGTATACTGGATGTCGAGTTTCACGAAACTTCTTCCTACCTGCACGTTTCTTTGGATAGTTCGAAGCTAACATCACTTCTTCATCAGAATAATTAAGTGTCCCTGAGCTGCAACTATCAGACGAAGTTGAAGATTCAGCTGGCAACAAAGAAGTTGACTGTGTAGGAATTAGTGTGTCGAAATTGTAGTTTCCAAAAATATCCATTCTTGATCAGTGTAGAGTACGTACTCTTAGAAGTTGGAAGTGTACAGAAGAAAGTTTGAGAGTAGATTATTCAGTTTAAGGTTTCCTTTTGAGTCAATAAATAACATTACGAAAAGCTATTTTTAGTGATATGATAAGTGAAGTGTTGCATAAGAAAGAAAGCTTACGGTTTACACACGAACACGGACTGTGTTAGCAGGAGACAGGCTGGGCATATATTCTTGATTTTTAAAAGGGCAAAAGTACTACTGGGACCTAGCTACTTTATGAGGCAATCAACTAGGTTAGTTTCAACACAAGTTCAAGATTTAATTTGTCTGTGTTTGTGTGGTGAACACGTGTGTTCTTTTTTGGGACAACTTGTGGGGTCCTTTCCCATCTTCTTCTTACCATCCTTATTGGGTTTTATAACTTTATTGGACACTAGGGGTACCATTTAGGATTATAGAAACAGAAATACATAAGAAACAATAGGTTTGACTGAATATTAGTCCATCCATGCCAATTATGCGACGCAGCTTGGCTCGATATATAAAATTTAAGGAAAAAACCTTTTGCGATATATATTTTTGTCACGACCTAAAATTCAACCAGTCGTGATGGCACCTAACCCAACCCGCTAGGTAAGCCAGTTAACATCTTTCCAATTTAATGAGATTTATTAAGAGAATAAATGATAATACAACTGCTTTTGTACAAAGAATTTTCCAAACACTGGTAGTACAAATCATGAGCTTCTAAGATTTAGATTTTTACAAAACTGAATTGAAATAATTACAACATCTGTTTGAAATGTAAATGAACAGAATTCGAATATAATGCTACCAAGGACAAGTGATAGCAATAAGTAACAAAACTAGCCTTAGGTTGAAAGTAGTGACGAGCTTGGACAAGGGTCAGAGTCCAACTCCAATAACCAGCCACAATTCATAACAATATAATAAAAATGATAAGAGAAAATAACTCAGAAACAAGTTGCTCAACTTGTTCACAGCTATGGAAAATAGGCATGCTTTTCAAGTATAACAGTAAGTCCCAAATCTTTCACCGAAAATACCAAGAACATATGAGTAAGTTTGAAAACTGTGATTTTTCCCAAAAATCTTTCAACAATAAATAAGATGTTTCATTTTCAGATAGCATGAGGAAATTATATTTCTATGCCTACACGTCAATATGCAGGTGAAATCATGAATGTCACCAAAACCAGGTCGCGTGAGGAATTGCATCTTTACGACTGTATCTCAAGTACGCATGACAAACGCAATGCATCTCAGTGATGAATTCGCGTACTCAAACTATCAGAGTACTCAATCTCACTGTCTCATATTCTCACTCACCATGCTCAATACTCATCACACACAGCCACTCAGTACTGTACAGGGTAGATCTAGCCCAGGGCAGATCCAACACAAACATAACTAAATCCAGGGTAAATCCAGCCCAATCATAAATAAATCCAGAGCAGATCCAACCCAATGCAAATGAATCCAGAGAAGATCCAGCCCACAAATCCATAGAAATTGCACCCACTGTGGATGTGCAGACTCCGGAGGGGTAGATCTAGCTCAAGCGCTATAATAAGCCAAATCCTAGCATGAATCAATAAAGCATGCTGCGGCGTGCAGCCCAATCCCATAAATATCACTCACAACAGGCCCTCGGCCTCACTCAGTCATCAATCTCTCCAATTTCTTGGGCTCACAACACTCATGCTAAGCAGCCCTAATCAATGATACGAGATGTGCCAATATATGATAATAGAGACTAAGACATGATATGTAATTATGAATGTGATTGAACACATAACTGAAATTAAGCAAATAACTCAACAGCAAAGAACGACCACTATGGTCCCAATAGTACTAGCATATAGCCTAAATATAATGTCTAGCATAAATTACAGCTCAAGTGCTCTAACACATAGAGTATAGTAAATATGTTCAGATAAGATAGCTACACAATTCCATGGAATCGACTAACTCATAATTCACATAGTGCACGCCCACACGCCCGTCACCTAGCATGCGCGTCACCTCAACATCAATCACATAACACGTGATTCGGGGCCTCATACCCTCAGCACCAAGTTTAGAAGTGTTACTTACCTTGAACAAGCCAAATCCATTACCGAGCAAGCCAAGTGATGCTCCAAAAATACCATCTCGCACGTACTGACCTTCGAACGACTCGAAACTAGCCAAAAGCAACTCAAACACATCAAATAAACCCTAAGGAAGCAATTTCAAATGATAAAGGTCGAATCTTCAATCAAAAGCCAAATTCAACCAAAAAGTCAAACCCGGGCCTGCGCTTCGGAACCCCATGAAACTCAAAAGACTCGATAACCCATTCAGTTACGAGTCCAACCATACTAGTTCCACTCAAATCCAACTCCCAATCGATGTTCAAAACTCAAAAATTCACTCTATGAAACTTTAGACAAAAATTCCCAATTTCTCTCTTGAAATCCTCAATCAAATACC